ATAATATCAATTTGAAAGTTGATAATGGAATTTTAAATTCTATTGTTATCATTAAATGGAATATATAACTTTTACATAGAAAATATGTACATAATAATTTCAACAACAACAAAAAGAAAAATCAACTAATACATATTAATCGTTCTTTTTTTCAATTTCTGTTTTTTCAGAAGAAACTGATACAAGTGTTATCTGACGATAATTACGTATAATCATACATAATATAATAACATTAACCAAACCAAATACAATTGATGCTAACCATATTTGAACAAATGTATTTTTTCCTTGAAATTCTAATTCATATGCATGATAAAGCCACCAACCTTGTGCTAGTAACCAAATACAAAGTAATAGAAATAATGTTTTCCATTTTAATTGAATATTTGGTAAAAGAATAGGTATAAAAATTAAATACCAAAGAAAATATTGTGATGTTGTTACTTTATTAAATATAACAAATGAAAATGTCAATGCAAAAAGACAAAGTTCAAGTTTATTATATAAACGATATGATAATATTAATGTATTAAATATTTGTGGAATAAATGTAATTAATGAAAGAAAAGAATTTTTTGGACTTAAATATGTTAAATAAAAATATGGTGAAAAATTATGTCGTGCATCACGACGTACAATATGATATAAATATGTTTCATATAAATAAATATAACCATAATAATAATAAAAAAATCCATTAAGTATAAATGTTATTAATATAAAAGAAATAACAAGTTGAAAACGACGAGATGTTAAATACAATGATGAATTATGATCAATATGAAAATATAATGCAAGAGAATAAATTATTGGATAAATTTTAAAATGAGTAGCTAATGCAAGAAGTATCTAAAGACAAGAAAAAAACAACATTTAATATATATTTACATAAATATTTAAAAAACAAAAATTTACTCCTGTAAGCCATGTTCGTTCATTTGATTGTTTAGCATTATAAAGTATTGCAAGTACAATAACAGCTACAATTGATTCATAACTTCCTCTTGTAGCAATAACAGCTGACATTGGATTATAAAACCAAATTAATGCATATTTTTGTTGTTGCTTTGGTAAAATCCATCCAATTAATAAACCAACAAATACATCACAAATTGAAAATAAAAATTTTCCCCAATGTTCATTAAGAAATAAATTTGGTGTTAATAAATAAGCAAGTAATGGTGTATAACGATAAGTTGTTCGACGATATGGACTTTCATTTTGTAAAAC